AAAGAAATTCATAAGCAGAAAAATCCATACAAACTCAACTCAGTTCTCCTCTCTAGATGCAAAATTTCACAGTCCAGCTGTGAAATTTCACAGTCCAGGAGGATATAACATAAACACAACTTACAGAGAATAATCACAGCAGTGTAACTCAAGGTTTAACTGTCTTTGTATCTCAAAAGTCCTCCAGCCTACTGGAGAATACCCCAATTGCCACAATTTAATAGAAATGGTCTTGAACTCCCATCCTATATAAAATGAGAAAACCCAGCATTGTTTCCAATGTTTCTGAGCTTCCCTGGACTATTTCTCTCCTTATAATTTATAGCTCTGTTTTACTCCTGATGATTGCTCTCTCTCTGCTGACTCAAACGCTTATATCACACCATTTGTACTAGATACCATCTGGATTCTTGAAGTGATCAAAATACCACTGGCACCAGATCATATATAGAGCAGACTTTTACTACAGATTTGGGGGCAAAGTTCGTGGGGTTAAATATTAAGTATCCCTGTTCCTAAATGACCTTTGAAGTTTTCTCCCTGTAAATTCCTCACTGGACATCTATTTACAAACTAACCAGCATCATTCTGCTCCGTTTTTATTTTCTTTTGATTTCATTTTCTACCTGCTACCCATACCCTTGCCAAACCTATTATACATATGTCGCAAAAATAACAACACTGTACCAGGCAGTATAAGTACTTTATGTATGTTCTTTCATATAACAGACACTTTCTCTCCCTGTGTTTGGCCCCTAGGTATCCAGGCCAAAACATTTGGAGCTTCATCTTTTTTGTCTCAACAAATATTAAATGCATTTTTTGCTTGCTTGTTTGTTTCATTTTGCTAGAACAGTGCTAGCTCCCAGAGCTTTGGTAACAAATAAAACAGACTTAGTCTCTGACATCATGGAACTCCATATTCAAAGAGATGAAAAAGTAAAAACAATTCTGTTTTGAGGGACTTGTCAAAAACCTTGAGGTTTTTATAATAATCATTTGAATATGTGCTGCAATAGATGACAACAAAAAGACAAATAGCAAAATAAGACAAAAATACAAAGGATGCCACACAGCAGGACAGGATGGGCACACAAGTCTTTCATAAATAATAAATATTAATACTTTAGAAGCTGCTGAGATCATCTGAGTTAAACTGGTGGACCCTGAGGTACTAGATTAGAGAGGTAAGGAAGGTAGGGAGGGCTGGGATAGGATGAAAATAGACATAGTGTTTGAGACCCTGGGATCAAATCATGATTCTTTCACTTACTATGTGACTCTAGGGAGCAACTCAATCTAAGTGTATATTTCCTCCTTCGGAAAACTGTGATAACAACAGTAACTTTCTTAAAGGATTGTTTTAGGAATTAAATGGTGGGGGGGAGCAGGGGGAGGGTTCAGGGGAGGGTACACGCCAATCTCATTAAGCAATGCCAGAAGCCTGATAAATGCCAAGCAAATGTTCATGTATAAAGGAGCAAATGCTCTGCATTTAAGATCCTTATACTCTCACTTCTTATGTAGTTTTTTTCATATACATTATTATTTCAAAATTTCTAGCAATTTATAAAGTGGATATGATTATCATCATCTTCATTGAGCAGAATTGGAAGTTGGGCTTTTCAGATATTAAGAACTTGTGTAGGGCTTGAAAGGGACTCAGGCCAGGCCTCTGAATCCAGATCTTCTGGCTCCTAATCTTTTCATTCCTGTCTTAAAAGTCAGTTATTCCCACAGAATATGGGAATATTTAAATGTTTAAATGTTTGACAACCAATACCTTAGGCAAAGACTCTCACCAAGAGTAGGTCAGGCATGCAAAGGAGAGTCAGAAGTGGGAGTCAAACCTCAGCTGTTGTTGCTGTTCGGTAACTAAGTCATGGTCCTACTCGGTTAGGCCTTTAGAAATAATTGGTCAAATATAAGTCAACCTAAATGTCCACAAATAGGGTACCTCTTTACATGGTATACCAGGTAGCCAAGAAAATGAATGAGGTAGATCTATGTATACTGATCTAGAAAGATGTACACACAAAAAAATTAAAATGGCAGGCGGTGGAATGATATACACAACAGAGGCTTTACAGTACAGTGTTTGAGAGAACAGATTCTACTCATTGGGTGACCTAGTCCGCCACTCTCCTTTCCTCATTTCCACATCCTAACCAGCCCCTTCCATAACTTCCATTTCTCCTGGTCCTTCCGATCTTTTCTCTTGCCCACCCTTCCTTAGCCTCCTGTCTCCTCTCTGCCTGGGGCTCCTTAACTGGGGATGGAAACTGGGAGACGGTTGTGAAAGTCGTCAAGCATGTGCTCTGTGGCTTCTCCCAGAACACCAAGTAGGCATGTTTGCACACCCCACCACCCCCCAGGACAGAGCCCAAGAGCAACTGGTCCCTGCCTTGTGCCTCAGGGTTGACCAGCACTTCACACACAACCTGGGCCCACCCAACCTGCTTCCACCCTCATCAGTTCAGTCACTCAGTTGTGTCCGACTCTTTGTGACCCCTGGTCACTGCTGTGCTAGTGTGTGAGTGCCTCTCGGCCTCAAGAGGCGGCACTGCATTTGTCCCGATCCCATTCAGTCCTCACTTTTCCTGTTCCTTTTTCCTGCTTGTGAGACTCTTCTGTTGATGGTGTTGTCACACTTACTGCTGTTAGGGTGCAGCCCTCTTACGTGCCAGAGTGTAGATCATATTCACTTCAAACAAGACACAGAATGAGAACACCGGCATGAGTTTGAGTAAACTGCGGGAGTTTGTGATGGACAGGGAGACCTGGCGAGCTGCGATTCATGGGGTCGCAAAGAGTCAGACACGACTGAGCGACTGAACTGAACTGAACTGAACTGAATCCCTGAAAGAAGATAAGGAGAGCCCTCCATCCCAGACCCTTCCTTGTGTGAACTAAATTTGGCACAGAACGCAGTAAATCCCTGGTTGTGAATTCAGCTTCTTAAATGGTAAGTAGTAGCCATGATCTTCGTTTTTTGAATGTTGAGTTTTAAGCCAGATTTTTCACTCTCCTCTTTCACCCTCATCAAGAGGCTCTTTAGTTTCTCTTCACTTTCTGCCATTAGTGGTATCATTTGCATATCTGAGGTTGCTGATATTTCTCCCAGCAATCTTGATTCTAGCTTATGCTTCCTCCAGCCCAGCGTTTCGCAGGATGTACTCTGCCGAGAAGCTAAATAAGCAGGATGGCATACAGCTTTGTCATACTCCTTTCCCAATTTTGAACCAGTCCGTTGTTCTATGTCCAGTTCTAACTGATGCTTCTTAACTCTCGTACAGGTTTCTCAGGAGACAGGTAAGGTGGTCTGGTACTTACAAAAAATAAGGAAGAGAAGATAGGAACGGAGACAAGAAGGAAGGCCAAGAGGTTCTGAGCTCAGATAATTGTGAAGTGGAAGAAGGCAGATTCGCTAAGGGGACATACAAATGGTATTTATATTTATTTACATATATATATATATATATATATATACACACACACATATATATAATTTATTGAGGGGAAATTCACATAATATAAAATTATCCATTTGAAAGTGAACAAACCAATGACATTTAGTACATTCACAATGTTGTGTAACCACCATTTCTATCTAGTTCCAAAACATTTCCATCATTCCACAGTAAAACCGCATACTTGTCAAGTAGTAACTCCCTACTCCTCCTCCCCCACCACCTCCCCTTGGCAACCACCCATCTGTGTTCTGTCTCCATGGATCTATCTGTGCTGAATACTTCATATAAAGGGAATCATACAAAATAGAATGATATAATAATAAGCCTTTGTGTCTGGCTTCTTTGTCTTAGCATAATGTTTTCTAGGTTTGTCCATGTAGGATATATCAGTACTTCATGATTTTTATGACTGGATAAAATTCCATTGTATGTACATAACACTATTTATCCATTCAACTGCTGATAGACATTTGGACTGTTTCCTCCTTTTGACTATTGTGAATAGTGCTACTGTGGGCATGCATGTGCATGTACTTGTTTGAACACCCGTGTTCAATTCTTTTGGGTATACCAAGGAATAGAATTGTGGGGCCATATGGTTATTTTATGTTTAACTTTTTGAGGGATTCCTACATTCTTTTGAAACTCTTCCTTAAGGCTATAATATTATAAATAATATTAGATATAAGAAATATTCTAAGTCAGAGTGTCTCAACTTGAGCACTGTTGACATTTGGGGCCAGAGAATTCTTTGTTGTGGAGGCTGACCCGTGCACACTAGAATGTTTAGCAGCATTTCTGGCCTCTACGCAATAGAAGACATCAGTAGCATCCCCCCAGTTGTGACAATTAATTATACCTCAGGACATTGACAAATGTCCTCTGGGAGGAAAAAGTGTCATCTCCCCTGCAAACCATCATTCTAGAAGAGTCAGTAAACTTGAAGCAAAATGGCACTAAAGCAGAATACTAAAACAAAACAAGGGCCTCTAAGAAACAGACATTCCTTGTAAGTCTGCATACAGGAAATATTACTATGTAATGATTTTAAGGAGTTTTCAGGTCTACAAATGTGTGACAACCAGAAAAATCTTATCATTCAATATTCATGTAATTTTCATGTATACCTTTAGTACCATAAACCCAGCTCATTCACAGAACTCCAAGAAATACAGCTTTTTACCTCAGTACACATTACATACCAAATCACATTTAAAGCATACTACATCATATAATTCTTAATATGACAACTAGAAGCAAGGTTTGTAAGATATTTTTTGATATGGTAATATTTATTTTGACTCTAGGTTCAAACAGAGCCCATAAAAAATTTATTTGGTTCAGCCAAATAATGGAAAAATGAGTGCTAATTTTCATTACTGACATATAGTGAACCAAAATGAAAATTTTATGTTTACTGTTAAAGATCAAGGTGCATGAGTTATAGGAATGAGAACTCTGAGTACATAAATACCTTTGCCATCAAAAAGCCATCCAGGTTAGGACTTTTACGGAAATGAACCAGCTTTAGACACAGACAGCACTGGTGTAGAGATCACAGCAGTTATAAAGCGCAATAGCACTGAATTCTTTATCTTCCCAGGGACCAGAAAAAGAAGGAGGGTTGTAGGTCCCATTCAGAGAAGTACTGAAATGAAAAACCAGAGATACACAGTGGGTCAGATAAAAACAATGCAACAAGATGTATCAGTGAGTTCTACCAAGCAGGTGAAAACAAAAGCAGAAACCTATTAATGAATCCAATCACAATGACCAAGTAAGTAGGACAGAATTAAGTGTATTTTTTCATTCATGCCCAAGATAGTACTAGCAAAAAACCCTATACAATGTTTCTGCTTCTGTGCCCAATTCCAATTCCTAACCATAGTCCTTTCCAAACATCACTGAAGCAAAATTTATGCTTTGTAATGTGATATAGAATTGAATTTATTAAAAAAAGTGAGATGATATTCCAAACCACTTCCCTCTTAAGAAAGGAAAACACTGGGAAGGTCATGTATACATCAATATATTTAAAATGCATAACCAACAAAAACCTATTGTATAGCACACGGAACTCTGCTCAAAGTTATGTACCAGTCTGGATGGGAGGAGGGTTTGGGGGAGAATGGATACATGTACAAGTATGGCTGAGTCCTTTCCCTATTCACCTGAAACTACCACAGTATTGTTAATAGGCTATATTTCAATACAAAATAAAAAGTTTAAAGTTTGGAAAAAAAGAAAACAGCTCAGGCTTGGTTGTATATGTATGTGTGTTTCAGCTTTACTGAGGTATAATTAACAAATAAAGTTGAAATATATAGAAAGTGTACAGTGTGATGAGTTGACATATGCATATATTGTGAAAGGATTCCCAACATTGAGTTAATTAACACATCCATCACCTCACATATTTACTTTTGTGTGTGCGTGATGAGACACAAGTTCTACTCTCTTAGCAAATTTCAACTATATGATACAGTATTATTAACTATAGTCACTATGAGATACATTAAATTCTCAGGCCTATTCACCTTATATCTGAAAGTCTGTACTATTATACCAGCTTCTCCCTATCCCCCCAGTCGCTAGGCACAGGCAACCACCATTCTGTACATGCAATTTTTATTTCTTTTTTTTTAGATTTCACATGAGTGAGACCATGCAGTATTTGTCTTTTTCTGGCTTATTTCGCTTAGTGTAATTGTTTATCCACATTGTTGCAAATACCAGGATTTCTTTCTTTTTTAAGGATGATAACATTCCGCTGTGTACTTCTACAACATTTTACTTATCCATCCATCTGTTAGTAGACACACAGGTCGTTTCAATACCATGGCGACAACAGGAACCATAATAACGCTGCAATGAACATGGGAGTACAGAAAATGGCTTTGCTTCCTTTGGATATATAACCAGAAATGAGATTTCTGGATAATATGGTAGTTCTATTTTTAGTTTCTTCAGGAACCTCCAAGCGACTATACCATTTTATGATTCCACAAACTGTGTAAAAGGGTTTCCTTTTCTCCACATCCTTGCAGCATTTGTTGTCACTTGTCTTCTTTATGACAGCCACCCTAATAGGTGTAAGGTGATACCTCATTTTGGTTTTTATTTATATTTCCTTGCTAGTTGGTGATATCAAGCACCTTTTCATGTACCTGCTGGCCATTGACCATTTGGGTGACTTTTTTGGAAAAATGTCTATTCAATTCCTCTGCTCATTTTTAAATTGGATTATTTGGGGGTGGTTGCTATCAATCTATATAAGTTCCTTGTATATTTTGTATATTAATTCCTTACTGGATATGTGTTTTGCAAATATTTTCTCCCATTTTGTTAGCTGACTTTTCTTTCTTTATTTTTTTTTTTTGCTGTGCAGAAGCTTTTTAGTTTGATGAAGTCCCAGTTGGCTCTTTTTTGTTTTTGTTGCTTTTGATTTTGGTTTCAAATAAAAAAAAATTACTAACAAGTACAGAAGTACAGATCAATGGAACAGGACAGAAAGCTCCAGAAATAAATCCACACACCTATGGTCACCTTATCTTTGACAAAGGAGGCAAGAAAATACAATGGAGAAAAGACAGCCAGCTGTGCTGGCAAACTGGACAGCTACATATAAAAGGATGAAATTACAACACTTCCTAACACCATTCTCAAAAATAAACTCAAAATGGATCAAAGACCTAAATGTAAGGCCAGATATTATAAAACTCTTACAGAAAACATAGGTATAACACTCTTTGACATAAATCACTGCAAAATACTTTTTGACCCAACTCCTAGAATAATGAAAATAAAAACAGAAATAAATGTGAAATAATTAAACTTAAAAGCTTTGCACAGCAAAGGAAAACTATAAACAAGATGAAAAGACAACCCTCATAGAAATATTTGCAAATGAAACAACTGACAAAGGATTAATCTCCAAAATATACACGCAGCTCATACAGCTCAATATCAAACAAACAACCCAATCAAAAAATGGATGAAAGATCTAAACAGACATTTCTCCAAAGAAGATATACAAATGGCCAATAAACACATGAAGAGATGATCAACATCACTAATTATTAGAGAAATACAAATCAAAACCACAGCAAGTTAACACCTCAAACTAGTCAGAATGGACATCATTAAAAAATCTATAAACAATAAATGCTGAAGAGTGTGTGGAGAAAAGGAAACCCTCATGCACTGTTGGTGGGAACATAAATTGATACAGCCACTAAGGAGAACATGCAGAGGTTTCTTAAAAAAATTAAAAATAGAACTACCATATGACCCAACAATCCCACTACTAGGCATATACCCTGAGAAAATCATTAATTCAAAAAGATACATGTACCCCACTGCTCACTGCAGCACTATTTACAAAAAGCCAGGGCATGGAAGCAATCTAGATGTCCATCGACAGAAGATGGGATACATATATACAATGGAATACTGCTGCTGTTGTTTTGGTCCCTAAGTCACATCTGACCCTTTTGAGAGCCCATGGACAGATTGAACCAGCGTCGCCTGTGGCTCCTGCATTGGCCCACAGATTCTTTACCACACAGAGCCACCAAGGAAGCTCCCAGTGGAATATTACTCAGGCAGAAAAAGGAACAAAATTGGGTCATTTGCAGTTACATGGATGAACCTAGAGTCTGTCATGCTGAGTGAAATCAGTCAGAAAAACAAATATCGCATATTAATCTAGAAAATGATACTGATGAACATATTTGCAGGGCAGGAATAGAGACAGAGACATAGAGAACGGACTTGTGGACACAGCAGGGAAAGCGGAGGGTGGGACTGACTGATAGAGCAGCACTGGCGCATCTACAGTATACACACATGTGTGCAATAGCTAGTGGGAGGCTGCTGCATAGCACAGGGAAAGCAGATCAGCGCTCTGCAATGACCTAGTGGGGTGGGATGGGGGCGGGGCGGGAGGGAGATGGAAGATGGAGGAAATACAAGTATGTAATGACCTAGAGGGGTGGGACTGGGGGCAGGGTGGGAGGGAGATTGAAGATGGAGGAAATACATCCATACATAGAGCTGATTCACTTTGCAGTACAGCAGAGACTAACACAGCACTGTAAAGCAAGCATATATACTACAACTTTAAAATTTAATTAAAAAAAAATCATTACTAAGACCAATGTCCAGGGCTGTCTATGTTTTCTGCAAGGATTTTCAAGGTTTCAGGTCTTATGTTCAAGTCTTTAATCAATTCTGAGTCGACTTTTATGTACGATATAAGACAGGAGTTCAGTTTCATTCTCCTACACGGGTAAACTTGAAGGGTTAGGGACGTAGGCAGAGTGGAGCCTTAAACACTGGGGCCATAGATGTGCAGTCTAAACCCTTCACTGCTTAGGGGGAAGCTTAGAGTTGGAGTTCCTTTCCATTACATGGTGCTCTGCCAGGGGTGCAGTTTATGATGAGAGTATGTCTCGGCCTTTCCTACCCAGTTCAGTGTAGGTATTTTCTCAGTCATAGCAGTCATTCAGCTAGTTTCTTGATTTTTCTTAGAATTATTCCATGTGTAGCTGTACACTTGGTGCATACATAGGAAAAGGGAAATTCAAGACTCCTTTGTTGCCATCTTGGTCTGGAGTCACTCCAAATATTTACTATGAATGAACTGGACAAAAACATTCTCTTTCAGATTCTAGATACAAATGATGCTCAGTAAGTGACTTTAGGCAAAAAGTCAGTTGCATTTCGGAGGGCAGAAATGAGCAGGAAAGAGTATTCTATTAATCCTTTAGTGAGGTTCAGTGATGTACTCATCATTAAACAAAAATTAGCAATTTTCACCTTATTCATTTACTTCAGATTATGCCTACAATGACATCTACTGAACTGCCACAAGAACAGAGGAATCATAACTATGCCAGACCAGTGATCTATCTAGATTATGATTCATCTTTATCAGTGCAACAAAAAGATTATTTTTTCAGAAGATATTGGTTGCCTTCTTTGGTGAAAACCTCCAAACCCAGTAGGATAATATCTGTTCACCTGGCATAGTTACCTGTTAAGGAGCTAGTACCCAAGCCTCTACTTGTATAGTGAACATATGTAAGATCACATACTTAATGACGACTTCCAAATCTATCTCCAGTTCTTATTTCTCTCCTGATTTCCAGACCTAAGTCGCTTCACATGACGTTTCCACAGGTACTTCTAAGTCAACATATTTACCTGCATTAAGCCATAATCTCTCCCCTTTCCTCCCATTCTCAGAATCAATCCCCTTCTTGTCAGTTAATAAATGGCAACCCTTAGATCTACTTGCCCGAGCCAGAAAGGGTAGACATTTGAGACTCCTTTCTCTTCCTTACCCTTTTCTTCCCTTAAGTAAACAACCCTATTGATTCTCCTTGGTCTAATGCATCTTCATCCTCACAACTACTTAGTATCAGCTCTCATCATCTCCTACTTGAGAGTAATACAGCAATGTGTTTATTGGTCTGCTTTTGCAGAACCAAACATTCTAGTTCCTCAGTTCTTTCCTTTCTGGGTCCTGTAACTAGTTCTTTTAGCTTATGATATACTCCCTTTAGTTTTCAACTGACTTCTTTGGGTATTTTTTCTTTGTCTTAGATTTTCTATCATTTGAAAATGATATGTTTAAGTATAGTTCTCTTGGCATTTATCATGCTTTATGTTCTCTGAGCTTCCAAGATATGTGATTTGGTGCTTGACATTAATTTGGGGAAATTCTCAGTCATAATTGTTTCAAACATTTCTTCTTCTCCTTTTGGTATTCATATTACATGTACGTTACATCTTTTGAAGTTGTCCCATAATCCTTGAATGTTCTATTTTAGTTTTTTTTCCAGTCTTTGTTCTCTTTGCTTTTCAGTTTTGAAGATTTTTGCTGATTTATCTTCAAGCTAGAAGTGCTTTTCTCAGATGTGCTTAGTCTACTAATAAGCTATTCAAAGGCATTCTTCACTTATGTTACAGTGTTTTTGATCTGCAGCATTTCCTTTTGGTTCTTTCTTAGGATTCCTGTATCTCTGTACTTCCACTGCTCATCTGTTCTTGCGTGCTGCCTACTTTATCCATTAGAGCCCTCAATGTAGTAATCATTGTTGTTTAGTCACTAAGTCATGTCCAACTCTTTTGTGACCCCACGGACTGTAGCCCTCCAGGCCCCTCTCTCCATGGAATTTCCAGGCAAGAATACTGGAGTAAGCTGGCATTTCCTTCTCCAGGGATCTTCCCAATCCAGGGTTGGAACCCGTGTCTCCTACACTGGCAGGTGGATTCTTTATCACCAAGTCACTAGGGAAGGTCCATGTTAATCACAGCTGATGATTTGTAAATCTCTGCCATGTCTGGTTTTGATGCTTGCTCTGTCTCCTCAAATTGTGTTCTCTGCTTTTTAGTGTGTTTTGTAATTTCTTCTTGATAACTAGACATGACACCCATAAAAGGAACAGCTGTAAATAGACCTTAGCAATGTAGTGGTGAGATGTTGGGGAGGGGAGGCGTTCTATTGTCCTGTGGTTAGGTCTCAGCCTTTTAGTTAGCCTGTGCCTCTGAACTCTGAACTTCACAAGTGTTTCTCAGTCTTTCCTCCCTCCTTGAATGGGACAGGATGGCTAGAGTGGGCTGAAGTTGGGTATCTCTCTTCTTCTAGGTCAGGTGGACTCTGATAATACCCCAGGTGATTAGGCTTTGGTTAATTCGTTTTTCCTAAAGGCAGGTCTTGTTTTAAAAAACAGAGTGCTTTGTTTTTGGTGTATTTCAAAATAGTTCCTTTTCCCCTCCACCTGCCAGAAGCATGAGGCGGGTTTTGTCTGATACTTACTATGAGAACCTAGTCTAGTTCCAAGAGGTAAAACTTCCAAAAGTGTGGGGTTTCCCCCTGATAAGTGGGTTCCCTCAGAGTTTTTAACACTCAGACTTGTCCACCCTGAGGCCTCGGCAACCGCAGTTTCAGGTTTTCCTGCCCCTGCACAGGTTTCTGTGGCACCAGTAAACCATGACTCCCTGTGTTTGCCTGTCGCTCCAATCTTGGGGTCAGCAGTTTGCCTTGTGTTTCTTACAGATCCAAGAAGAGTTATTGATTTTTCAGACTATTCAGCTTTTTTTCACTTTCATCTTAAGATGGACTGGTGACCTCTGAATTCCTTACACCCAGAACCAGAAAACTATTCTAATAATATCCCAGTAATTGGTAAACAAGTTCATTTTTACATGCCTGAATGTACCTGAATGCATCATGATTTTATCAATTCAACTTTCTCTCTCTGTCTTCATTTCTGTCTGAAGAAGCTCTTAAGTTTTGGGCCACTCAGGACCATTGTCAACCTTCACCTACAACCTATCTATATTCAAATCACAATAAATACTTCACTTCTGATCAGGGAAACCACCCTCCCTTACTTCTTCTGCTACCCCTCCACTTTTCAGTACCCCATCAATACAGGGTATTGTCATTTGTAAAACTGATGATTTGTCCATGCTAGAGCTAACAGTGAGTATGCATCTAATAGAAAAGAAGAGAGATCTAGACCACCACAGATACCTATCCCCCTTTCTTATATGTTCTCTTCAATATCCATGTGATTACCCTCAAGATCTTACTTTTCTTCAATCCCAGAAATTCCTGAGTGAAAGAGAGCATAAAAGAGGAGACTCGAGCAGGGATCCAGTGCTCACTCACCTCTGAAAGAGCTCTCTGCAGCACATGTAGGTCTCATAGGTTCGGTTGGTGAAACTCATGTTTAGGAAGGAGACACAGTCAGTTTCCGCTCCCCTGGGGACATAGAGGATTCCTGGATAAAGGAGACAGAGATGCTAAGGGGAAGATTTTACACATGTTCCTTAAGGCTCTTAATTCTCTGGGTATAAATTGAGAACACTGTAGATTAGGAGCCTTTTCCATGCACATGTGAGACGGATGGTTAAATCAGTTATTCTGAGACAGCTGGGACACTTACCTGCCACACAGGCACTGATAAGGGATACACAGGCCCCTGTGAAGAGGGCACTGACCACAACCTTGGACAAGTCACTCTTCCGGTGGGGTACCATTGATGCTGCAGACAACAAAACAAAACAATTCAATCTCTTCCCTGCCAAGCAACCAGGTATACCCATGAAACCCGATTAGAAGAATGCTGAGTATCAAAACACAGCAGATGAATCACATTCTTACTGTGACTGAATCACATTCAACCACCAGATGCTTGCCAGTGGTGTGCTTAGAAGTATATGTATTCATAGGTCACTAAATTAGACACTCCCCAGGTCAAGGATGGTGTGTCTGACTCTAACTTCGGTGGTTCTGTGAACATTCCTAAGATGTATCTGAACCAAGAAAAGCTCTGCATTGCTTCAGACAGTGCAAATGCCTTGGGTGTTCACTAGCTGAAACTGGCATGCTTAGGGTGGACAGAATTAGACAGACTATTTTGAGCCAGAGAGATGAGACCGGCAACATTCATCTAAGCCTTAGTCATGTCGTGCATATTCCACCACTAGATGGCAATCTCACAATCAGGTGGTAATCGGGTATCAGAATTAGAAGACAGACAACTGTGTGACAGAAGGGGAAAAGAAACTGAAAGGAAACTGTTTCACCTTTAGGTTGTTTGATCAGCTACCAAGTAAATCAACTTAATGATTCTAGCCCAGAACATGAGTGCAATAAAAAATGAACACACTAAGCTGTATTTTTCTAATTTTTTGTTCTTTAGTCGCTCAGTCGTGTCTGACTTTTTGCAACCCCATGGACTGCAGCACGCCAGGCTTCCCTGTCCTTCACCAACTCCCAGAGCTGCTCATACTAAGTTGGTGATACCATCCAACCATCCTGTCTTCTGTCATCCCCTTCTCCTCCTGCCCTCAACCTTTCCCAGCATCAGGGTTTTTTCAATGAGTCGGCTCCCCACATCAGGTGGAGCTTCAGCTTCAACATCAGTCCTTTCAAATGAATATTCAGGACTGATTTCCTTTAGGATTGACTGGTTGGATCTCCTTGCAGTCCAAGGGACTCTCAAGAATCTTCTCCAACACCACAGCTCAAAAGCATAAATTCTTCGGCGCTCAGCTTTCTTTATGGTCCAACTCTCACATCCATACTTGACTACTGGAAAGACCATAGCTTTGACTAGACGAACCTTTGTCGGCAAAGCAAGGTCTCTGCTTTTTTTAATACACTGTCTAAGTTTGTCATAGTTTTTCTTCCAAGGAATAAGCATCTTTTAATTTCATGGCTTCAGTCACCATCTGCAGTGATTTTGGAGCCCAAAGATCTTCCAAACTCTTGGAATCCACTCGTTCTCTTTGCCCTGCCTTCAAGGACAGCTCCACTTTCTTCATATTATTTCCTCCAACCATCGCCATTTAGCAATATTCTCAGCAATCTAAATGTAATCTGTGTATGCTTAAAATACTCATTTCTCCCACACCTGGTGACTTATAGCTTTAATTCCAACACTTCACAGCACTTGCTCTATCTATCTACCTTATATGTCTCTGTTTTTATTTGTTCTATGATTCCTTGCACAACGCCTACTTCTATGAAGTCAACTGGTGAGCAGCATAATTTCAGAAAGTACCTTCACCACTGAACAAAAAAACAAAATACTTTTACTTATTTATGTACTATGTCCATTTAACGGCAAAATAAAAATAATACCATTATAGTGTTCCTCATAGGAAAAAGAAAAATAAAATTGGTTTTTTGGGCCTCCAACCAGAAGGAAAAAAAAAAAAAATAACAGAAGTTGAAATTCTAAACCCAGCCTTGGGAAGGGGGATCGGGATGGGGAACACATGTAAATCCATGGCTGATTCATGTCAATGTATGGCAAAAACCACTACAATATTGTAAAGTAATTAGCCTCCAACTAATAAAAATAAATGGAAAAAAAAATTTAAAAATAAAATAAAATAAACCCAGCCTTGGCTCCACTCATAGCCAGGTAGCATGATTACCTGAACTCCAAATTAACTGCCAAAGGAGAGGACCATTTCACATCAGCTTCTCTATCTGGGCTCAACTTGTACTGAAGCACCAGGGCTGCCTACTATAGATGCTGGGACCTGGCTGGCATATTGGGTAGCTGGGAAAAAGAATTAACTCACTCAAGCCTCCCAGTGTGATTCCTATGGAACTAAGATTGGCAAATCCACAGAGTGAAAACGTTGTAATGATTTCAGCTCTCACCTAGGGAAAACAAAAATAAATAAACTCAGTCCCATGTGTGCAATTGTATAATCATGATAGAAGTTCCAGAGTACTGAGAACCCCCAATCTTGTCCATACCACTCTAAGCAATGTGGAAAGTATGCTCAGAAAATAACCGCTCCCTGAGTTATTACAGAGATAATGACAAGAAAACCACCCTGGTTTCTTGTCCAGTGTTCTTGTCAAAGACTTCAGAGCCTATGAACTCTATGAGAGAAGCTAGGTCAGTGTGGAGGAGGGGGCAGATCTCAGGGCAGCTCAGGCACAGAAGCTAAGCACACTGTTACTCTTGCTTTGGGTCAAACTCTGCTTTGATCCCAGGTCAGGCCTGGGACCCTGGAGAGGGATCCGTGTGTGTGAGATAAACTTTTGCCTAATACTTTGTGTCTGTCCACAGACAGTTTATGCCTTTCCAGACTGGCACTTACAGAAATCCACTGCTTCTCGCCTTTGATCCACTCCTCCACTCCAGAGAGACGCTTGTTTTTGTACTGAGACAGTTGCTGAAAGGCCACAAACTCGTTCGTGAAGAATTTCATCCCCACCATCTCAGCCACCATTGGACAGTCTGCCCACTCGACACCCATCATGAAAACCATGGGCCTTAAGACATAGGAACAGATGACCTGGGTGAGAGAAAGAGATATCTCACATCAGGAGCCTAAGACTTCTCTGGAACCTTGACTCAGTCTCCTAACCCCTTCTCCCCGCCATGCTCCCTTAGCTCACTGTTGGTCAGAAGACATGTGCAATTCAAGGACTTCTTAAACACACCCTAGAAGGACTGCCCAGGTAAATGGAATCCATTACCTGAAAAGTGAGTCCCTGTATGTCTACCATTTCCCCTAGCCAGGAGAGGGCAGCATTGATGAAGGCCAACACAGCCAAAAAGGCAATCAGGTTGGCTGCTACGTTAGTAGCAAGGCCTACGGCATCTGTGGCTCCATTGCTGGCAGCTTCCAGGACATTCTTCTCCTTCCTGTGGTTATTGGGCATAAGGGAAGAACACGGTGTCTAGAGTAATCTCAGCCCCTCAGAAAAGAGATGTCCCAGTGCCCCAGGAGTGCGGGAGTGCAACAGGAGAGTGCAAGAACAGTTTAAGAGGTGATGGGGGTTCCTAGTGACCCTTTCTGTGGAAATTACTAATTTTCACAGTGTCAAATTCAATCACCATGAAATTGTACTGACACAAAGAACAGAGGATAATGGCATGCAGAAGGCAGAGGAAATGGGAGGGTTAAACAAAACAAACAAATCAACATGATTAGCTAGAGGCAGAGGTAGACACAAGGAGATATGGAATCATATTATTCCCTCTCCAGGAGACTTGGAGCCTTGAACCACAGCACCACTCTTGATACTGCATGTGACCTCACCATCTCCCAAATTATATGCCTCATTGAACTCACCCACGGGGCAATTTTACCCCCGCTTTATTCTTGAACTTGGACTCCTCCACTTCCGGATATACCAGCTTTGACAAAGCAAGAGCAGAAGGGGCAGCCATCACAGAGGCAGAAATCAAGGATGATGCATCAATCTGTAAGGCCAGACTTAGGAGTCAGCATCTACAGAACCCAGACTTGGGCTCACCCAGGAATGATCAAACAGACTATGCTTACCCCAAAGGATATGAAGGCTCCCAATACAGTGCCTGAAATTGTGGCAAACCCTCCAGTCATCACTGCATGGATTTCAGAGAGCGTCATGTCTGCAAGGTATGGACGGATGAGCAGAGGTGCCTCCGTCTAAAAACAAGACGGAGAGAGTCAGATTCAAGAGGGGTGCAGTTTCCCACCCCAGAGTGCCCACCCCAGCCCTGGGCACACATCCCTCCAGTGTGGGTGCCCTTCAGACTCTGAGCTCCTCACTTAGGCTCTCCCAGGGTCTGGCTCACTCCCTCTGGCACCTAATTACATCCTGGCTGGCACTGTTCTATGTGTTTTCATATGTGTTTGTCTCATCTATTTAAAAATTAGAAATCTACAGATGAGAAATGGTATACTTCTTTTGTAGGTTCTCAGTCTAAAACTGTATACTTAATGGACGACTTTATGGAGTACAGTGTACTTACTAATATAACTATTAACTGCTTAAAAAGTATACATTAAATGAACTGCCTCATGATTGAAGCCCAATGTTGATGAAACAATCAAAAGAAACAATGTTTGTGAAAATGGTATGAAATTATGAAGGCCCAACTACGCAAACTATATCTAGTATTGTAAAATAGGTAATATTTACGACTTAAAGAGTGACAACTATGTGCCTAGTGCTATAGGAGATGATAGGGACATTTTATGAATAAGGCAAAGTTCCTACTCTTAGGACTTCATAGTCTAGTAGAGGAAACTAAATTGGTTATGGAGAATTTCAGCAAAATGTTGCATGCTATGGTAGAAGTATATGGAAGAACTCTGAGACCATTTCAAATACAGTTAATCAGCCTAGGACCTTAGGAGAGAAAGACTTCAATATTAATTCCTTGTCTGTTTGACAAGTCATTTTCCCTAGCGTTAAGCTGATCAGTCAGTAGTATATACTGAGCACCTACTCCATATAGACAAATGTATCAAACAAGTATTATGGGGAAGAGCTTTGGTGTCAGCCCTGAGCAAGGCTCCTTAGAGACCCTGGAAAACAAAGGTCACTGGAAGAAACCAGAATGTGGAGGAAACAACTTTCATAGTCCCTGAAGGGGAATGATTTAGACCAGGACATTTCCCTAAATTCCTGTGTAAGAAGTTAGATCTATGGTTAAGTATGTCCCCATTACATGTATCACATAAGTATTATTAGAGATGAAAGGTGAAAACAATGAGTTGCATTCCCTTTAAGCTTCTGAATTTTGTTTCATCAGAATGAGTGGCTGCCCATACAGTCTTCATTTATTTGACTTTTCAAAAGGAAAGCATACATTTCTCAGCCCGTTGTCTGCCATACTTTCTGTTCCCCAGAGAAAAGATTCAGAAGTCCTCAGGATGCTTACCATACCCACAAAGATGTTTCCTGCCACAGCCAGGGTCTCTGTGGCAGTGGTGCCCATGGTGATTTGCAAAAACCAGGCAATCTAAAGGGATGCAAACACCCAAAACATTAATATTAGCAGAAATCTCAGAGTGTATCCAGCAAAACTCCTCCTCCGTTAACGTTGGTAATGAAATTAAGGCCTAGAGAAGAAGAGTGACAAGGCCGAGACCACAAAGCAAGTTACAAACAAATCCTGGACCAGGACTCAGGGCTCTTTGCTTCCAGAAAAAATAAAACTCAGTATGAAATGGTAGCTCAGCCCACTTTTTCTCCCTGCTGTGCCCTTCAGCCTGCCCAGGGCCTGGTTCTGACCATCTGATATCAGGCACACTTGAAAGAGTGTGCTTTTCACATTGGTTCTAATGATCAAGATGTGAAATATGAGCCTTCTTTTTCAAAGTAAGTATCATCTTCATGCCTCTTGACAGATAACATAATAAAAGCCCACCTCCTGACTGTGCAGCAGAATGACTCACCTTCTGAACAACCCACTGCACAAGGCCCAGGTAGTAAAGGATGGACATCACACATCCAAAGAAAAGGATGATGGGTAAGGCCTGTAATGAAAATGATGGGGCAGGCAGTGAGATCCTACAATGAACATGCCATAAGCAAACTGTGTTTCAGGCGTGTTAGATAACTTCCCACCATCCCAAGTGCAGCTGATACAGTATAGATACTCAGTGTATATTTAAACAGAAGCTAGTTCAGGAATACATTTTAAGTGTATCGCAAAACTATTATGCCATCAATACTAAGCCACAAGAAGATATTTTCTGAACCTTCCTCTCCCACCCCTATTTCATTCCAATTTCAGTATGGCACTGAACAAAGGGCAAGAGATTGACGCTGCTTCCTATATGGATGGGATCAAATCCTCTTCTTAGGATCATTGGTACACAGACTGTCTGATTTCTTGGGCACACATCTTCATCATCTGTTTTATCCCTCTTCCCACCCCCCACCCACCACCACTGACCCTCTCTCTTGCTCATGAAACAGACATGACCTGAAAAGCGAAGACATCTTTGACCAGAACATCCCCAAAAACAAAACTGGAGCCAGCCACTGTATAGCTGAGGAAAATCTGAAAGAAAAAGGAGAGAGAGATAATAAGGGTGAAGTCACAAAAGACACAAGGAAGACAGGATCAGCCTCATGTATGACTAGGACCTACTGCTGCTACTGAAGTTGGCCTCCCTTTGACAGCATGGGAAGCAGGCTATGTCCCTGTGAGCTACTCAGTGAAGGACAGAGGACTCAGCAGTTCAGTTCTCTTCATTCCTATGCTTAGCTGTACCCCCGTGTACTCTCGCCTTTCCTACTAGATCTCCCACCACCATCATTAAGAAGACACAGTGTGATCTCATGCTTTCCCCCAATCTCCTTTCTCGAGGGTTTGCAAAGAACAGTGCCCTCACATTCGATTTCTCATACCTGAACCTGTTCTCCCAGCCACCGAAATGCATTAAATCCAGGATCAGTTCTGATGACCAAGATCCCAAAGACAAACTGAAGACCTAGGCCCCAAAGCACTGCCCTCCAGGACACCTGGGACCAAAAAGAACATTATTCCAATGTGAGTTCTAAATCAGACTTGTTAATTACCTGGCTGGTGTTTTAAACATGGGTACATGTACTCTGAAACCTCTGAAACCAATCTAGGATGTTAACAGTAAATCTGGGGTAAGATGGAGTCGAGAGAATGTGGTACTGGGCAGTGATATACAAAGAGCCACATATATCTATATGTTTTTTAAACTTACACCTACAGGTTAGATCTCACACAGTCAGACACACACACACATACATATAAAAGCATCATAAACCAATACTTTAATATTACTATGTGCAGTACAAGTTGATTCTCTACTGTATTCTATTTTCTTTCTTTCCTTCTTTATTTTTTGCTTTGTTTTATCTTTAACACTGGCCTGCATCCATGAAATTGATATCAAGACTCATTTGAAAATAAGTGGTCCAGGGCCTCTTAGAACCTTAAACTTCACTTAAGAGCAAAATTATCAAAGGAGAAAATTTCAGAGATTGTTAAGAACTTAGTTCTGTGCCTCTGTAATCAATACTTGGCACATGTGCTTTGTAATTAATAACACATGGTCCTTGGCTAGGTATTACTACGCCCACCCCTGCATAACCCAAACTCACTGCGCTATGGTGTTTGGAGCAGGCAAAGAGGATGATGATGAACATGCAGATTCCCACAAAGGAGATCAACTGCTCTGGCCTTTGGGCTGTGTCCAGAGCCAGCCACAAGATAAGGCCAATCAAAGAGACTCCTGCCAACACCCTGGAGAGGGAATTTCAGGATCATGCCATCAACCCAGTGAATGAATAAGAAACAATAAAATTAACCTCTAAAAAACAGAAATTCATCAAATGGATAAATTCATCAAAAGGATAAACATAACAGGTTAGACACAGAGACATGTCTTTAGAATCATTCATCTGGTGGTTTCCCAGTTACCACCTCTCCCCTCCCCTCAACTCTTTTACTCACAGATGGAAGCTCAAAGAGTCCAATCTGGGGACATAAATGTCATGACTTCCTCAATCTATCATATCAGTAACAAAAAGACTTATTCTTAAAGATTGCTTTAATGCAAAACCAAAAGATTTTAAAAAGAAGAAGGAAAAGTCCCCCATAGATCTCCACCCAGCTTCCAACCATTTGAAGGGGCAGAATAAAGGCTAAGGCTAAGCCACAAATCAACGACTTGTGGCCTTATGGTCCCTTGATGTACCAAACATGCACAGTCAATACACAAACTAGTCTCCTCAAGCCTGAGCGTTGGAGTCATTTCAATTCAAGGAGTAAGAATTAGAAGGCAAATCACGTGAAAAGAAAAGAAAACCAAAACACACACACACTGTCCATTGAGATGCCGCAGGAACAACAATGACAACAGGACAGATGACAGGTCAGGGTTGAATACTGGGGCTGTTCTCTCTGTGAACTCAAAGTGAATTAAATCTGGCTTCCAGAATCCATCCAGATAATGAAGAAAGTACTTCAGGTCTATCTCTTCAGTGTCAAATAAATCAATGATCCAAAATTTAGGCTGTAGTCTGGGGTGTTTCTCCAAATGATCACTGCTGCAAACATTCTTAACAGTTATTTTCTGTGCATCCACTGGACAAAAGGCAGAAAAGAGGAACATACAGGGAGTCTGAAAGTCATTCTCTCACCCCAGGTCTGTGATCAAAGGACGCGTGCATGCCACAGTTAGATGAGCTGTGGCTGCTGCAGCATTCAGTTGAGTGCACACTAAACAGTGCTAAACTCCAGGGAATCATAAGACACCTGTGGGTGCAGGAAGTCTGGAGGACTAGAGGGGGAAAGAGCATAAAAAGTATCCAGAAATTAAAGGAGAGACACATGAGCATCAAATCAATTTGACAGTTTAATGCAGCTCTAAGACTCTTTGCCTCGATTACTTCCGTGAAGAGGAATATGGTTTTTCTCATTTCTGACACCAGCCCTGACAATAAACAGACTAAAACGCTTCCCTGAAATGTAACCCCTCCTGACCTGCAAGCAATATTAAGACAGGAGATTGTAAGAAACTGGACCAAGTTCAGTGCTCAGAGGCCCACTGCTATTTGCTCTCTGTGCCTTGGTTTTGTAAAGTATAGGAGAACTTTTCTCAGACACCTCAGAAACCAGGAAAGGAGGAAAAGGGTAATAGATTGGGGTTTAAGACAAGTTGTGGGACCAGGGATATTGAGATTATCTTACCATTTCATCCAAAACTTCAGGCGGGAGTTTTCAAGGGGCCTGAGACATCTCGTCAATTTTTCACCAAAGAGCCTTTTTAGAAAGTGGTGAACCAGGACCAAAAGCACCAAACAGGTTAGGACGAACAAGGCCAGTGCCCTATGGAAATCCAAGATGCAAGCTGCCAGGAAGTAGGCAGCATAAGCTAAAAAGATAAAGTACAAAGTAAGGATCAGCAAGGCAGAGACCCTAGGAACCAATGAAGACTGAGTCATGAATGTCTGGATAAGGGAGGAAAAACCCTCCAGCAACTTTACCACCAGCGCTGTCAGACTGAGCTGCACTTCCCAACGCCAGGGTAGATGGCTAGCTGTTTTCTTGGGGGATTCCAAGCAGTAACCAACTTAGTTTGAATGCTGCATATTTTAATTTGTCCCTGATGAAATCTCATTCCTTTCTATTTTATCTGGTATCCTCTTTCTATTCCTTGGTATGGGCTTGATCAGCATCTACTTTTATACACTTAAAAAATGATCCTTTCTCAAAACTTTATAACCCCAGTTATTTTAACCTTTCCTCTTGAGCAAAGCCATGGAAGCAGGCTACTACTAGGAAGTACAGCCATATGGTCCTCATTTTATGGCTCCCTGACTCACCCCAAAATATAATTTTTATTTTCACCATCCCAGCTGCACCTAATACTGACATCAAAGCCCCATATATCATTGACAGCATATTTTAAACAGAGGTTTCCTATGTGTTTTATTTATTCGGTCGGTTGGGTTATTTTGCTGTGTCTCATGGCTTGCAGAATCTTAGTTCCCACACCACGGATCAAACCTGAGGCCCTAACAGTAAAAGTGCCGAGTCCTAACCACTGGACTGCCAAGGAATTCCTAAAAGGTTTGCTGTCCTTTAGAAACATTTTATATCATTGGTCTTATCAGCAAACCAGAAAATAAGTAACATATACTACAGGCTTTTTTCATAGACTACAAGAACCATGCCCTTCATCTACTCAAGACACTAAAATAGAGACAAGCCCAGATTCTTAGAAATATTTAAGTCTATTGAATAGTACATTTTGAAAAATAGCTTATTCTCAGATTTTACTTATTCCTAGAAGTACAACTCTATACATTACAATTCACTACAAGTAGTTAAGAGCTATACATCATATAGCCCTTTAGATCAACTTATGAATAAATAGCTTCTTTCCATCTTGTAGTAGTCTTGACAGAAAGTCACGATTCTGAAATGACTGTGTCTCTCACTTCCACAGGTTCTCAATACCTTACCCAAACACAGCAGGCTCAGCAGGATCTTCTTGAACAAGCCAGCATGTGTTTTACAAAAACTTCTTGCCCTGGTGAAAGGCTGTAGGGTCCTCCTGATGAGAATCCAAAAGTTAAGATAACAAAAATTACTATATCCTGTTTGCATCAATTCCCAGAACTTAGATGATCCAGCCTGAGAAAGAATTTTCTCTTAAGAAATTCATCCAGGGGAAGTTAGGCAGTGTTCCAGCAATGCCGAAAGGCTGGGTCAACCTTGCCAATGGGCAGCAGCTCAGGACATTCCTGCCAAGCCTGGACTAACAATATCTCTGATATTGTTAGTCCAAGGGAAGAGCAGGAAGACACTCTTGGACCTTTCTGTTCTCTGGAGACAAGGGACTGCTCAGCTTCCAGATTCAGAAATGGCCTATCATTCTGAGAGAAAATAAAAACCACACAAATCCACAACCCTAAACAGTCAATCAGACATGCACTGACAGACCAGAAGGAAAACACTACCATCCCCAAGAATCCCACCTCCCAAGAATTCCTGGCTGAGAGGACCTGAGAGGAGACATCCAGCAAGTAGGTCTTCTCAAGTTTAATTTAACAAACATTTGTATAGTGTTTTCTATGCGCTGGACTCTTTCCGAGAAGTTTAAAAGTAGTAACTCATTGACTCCTAATAAGAACTCTTGAAGTGGTTACTATTATCATTCCCATTTTACAGATGTGGAAACTGGAAAGCAGAGAAGTACCTTTCCCAAGGTTGTAGAGGTTGTAAGGAGCATAGACAGAACATAAACTCAGGCAATGTGGCTTCAGAATCTGAGCTCTTAACCCTCTTTCTATGCTGCATCTTACCTAGGCCCCAGGCTCACCTGTCTCTGCCATTCCTAAATATCCTCAGCACACTGGAATCATATGAGCATAAAGCTCTAATTTCCAAATTCTCAGAAGATCCAAAGAAGATGAGCCCAGCAAGAAGGTCTCTATTGGCCATCATGCTGAGACAAAGCAGCTTAGCCAAGGCTGGGACCAACCACTAGCTCCAAATGCCCTGGGGACTTAGTTCACAGACTTCTATGTTCTATGGCTGCCTCTCCTATCTAATACACTCCTCTCTCTTTCTTCTCCTTTCTTCTTCTTTCATCAGGGAGTCCAACACTATGTTAGTTGAGTAGAGTGTATATTATCAGATATAGGTAAAGGAGAAAATATTCCTTATCACCCCCTGACTTAATCAATCCAAGAGGACACCTTGCCATCACCTTATGACCACATTCGATCATTTCCTGAGAACTACCAGAAATCAGTGAAGATTACTCATTTCTGCAAAACCCATGAACAATCTGATTTGAGAACATCAATTTAGAGCTGAACTTTTGTTTTAAAAAATTAAGATTGAAAAAAAAAATCATAAGGGACATTTCAAAGGAAAAGAGAAAATAAGATCTCAGTCTCTTTTAAACCAATTGATAAGCAGTGCACAGAGGTATGTGCACAGGTATTTATGGTCCTGGCATATTGCTTGGCCCACGATCTTGCTAACACAGCCAAGCTCTTTATATAATGGTTCAGTTTGAGAGTTAGTAACTGTGTTATATCCAGAAGCTGAATTGAGAAAAATAATCTGTCTGGTAGATGGTGACACTTGATACCTTGTCCATAACTTGCTGTGATGTCTGTATCCACTGATAAATTCTCCAGGTGTGTGTATGGAAGACTTTCCAGACATGAACTAATGATAACCTTCTCATTCACATGCTTACTGCCTGCAGCCTCAGGTGACAGCGTGAGAAAGAGTAGGGTAAGGATGTTAGGTAATGCTAGCTCAACACTGTATTAGTGGGCACCATAGGTCAGGGCTAGCAGCAAGAGTGTTCATGCATTTTTCTCAGTGACACTTTTTACAAGATGTAGAAACTCCCCTTCAAAAAAATTCATCTGACTGTTGGCAGAGGGGCCCTGGGAAAATCCTTGCTTGCCTGAGCTTGAAGTAAGAACCAGAACAAAGGAAATGAGTCAACTCAGTATCAAATCATGGTCTAAGTAAAGGGCAAGGCTTCCAAGTAGAAGTGACCAGAATCTCTTCAAGAAGTCCAAAGTTTCCATTTGATAATAGCAAAGAGTTCAAGACGGCAGAGTAGAAGGATATGCACTCAACCTCTTCAAGAACACTAAAATTGTGTTGAACAACCACTGACAGGAGAACACTGGAACCCACCAAAAAAAGAGATACCCCATTTGATGGCAGCATAAAAAGAACTGTACGGGGTACCACTTTGCCAGATTCAAAGTTGTGCATACAACTGGTTTAAAACTCGATGTGCAAGACTGCTGGATAGTGTTGCAGAGGAGTTCAAGAACAGTTACCAAAAGTGCCCAAGGGAGAATGGTGACTGAGAAGCAAAAGGGCTGTTAACAAACCAAAGTGGAAAGCCAAATAGGAGTTGGAAAACCAGCAAAGGCAAGAGAAAGGTCTCTCAGAGGGAGGTCAGCAAAGCTACAATGGAGGCAGAGACTCTGTGCGCCTGGGGATGACCAGTGCTGAGAACCATCAGCCTAGGTAGAGTGAGAAGGGAACTTAAATCAGAACACAGATGGGCTTAACTGCTCAGTTGTGATGGACGTGTTGCCTTGGAAAAGAACTCTCTCTCCACACAGGACCCAAATATTTACTTGATGCACAATAAAAAGTCAGATTTCTTCACACTAAGAATAGAAATTCAATGCCAACAGTCCAGAAAAGCAAGAGGGACCTAGTTAGTGGCATTTTCAACCAGCTATTCTACCCAGCCTCAACTTCTTCCTTCCAGAGGTCTTATCCCTCCAAGTTAGAGGTAACTGCTGCTGCTGCTGCTGCTGCTAAGTCGCTTCAGTTGTGTTCAACTCTGTGCGACCCCGTAGACGGGGTAGCAGCGGTTCTGAAAAGCAGGAGAGTCTTCCCAGTAAAGCTCTCTCTCATTAGAGAGAATCATGACTCTCCCCAGTGGCCTTTGTGGGCCAGCCCTTTAGTTCCATTGTTAGAAAAACTTTCTCCAGGTTTCTACCATATGATTAATGCCCATCATGGAGTCCCTATGCTGCACAAGCTGTCCTTATTTACACCTTCTTCTAATGATTTCAGTAGGAATTTGAGGACAAAGGAGCTCTGGTTCATTCAGCAGTTGAATTCATGCTCAGGTTCTAATGAGAAAAACAAAAGAAAACTGGAGGAGTTGGGGGAGGAGTTCCCAGCAAGGATGGGCTGCCTAAAGTTCTTCATGCAGGACTTACATTGACATGCAACTTAGTCCACCCAAGATATTCTTCCATACCTCCCTCCCAGTAACTTGTGCAGTTCACACCCACCCATTTATCTTGCCATTCCCAACCATCCCTGTCAGGCTTACCACCATCCTCCCAGGAAGTCAGAACAGTCACTTTGATAGGACAACCAGAAGAAACAACAGACTTAGTAGGAGCAGTTGGGCAGCTGGGAAGAAAAGCGAAAAGGAGAAATGATCAAGAAGGAGGCAAGGTTGACGACATTCAGTGATGTGTAAAATCAGGTTTTGTGGCAAATAAGATGGCAATAAACAGGTGACTGGTTCTGTTTGAAAAAGCCATTTACAGAAGAGTGACTATATGAAAACTGAATTGCAGGGGACTGAGTAAGTGTGAGCATATATGGACTACTTTAAAAAATAATAATAATTGCCTCTGAAGAAAAGAAAAACCAGATACTATTTAGTAAGCACTTTTTACCAGGTACTGCAAGAATCTGTCAATCACCCACCCCCGAAAACCACAAGGCTAATGTTATGCTCATAACTGAGGAAACAGCCTGCTGCCAGAGTTAGCATTTAAAACCCACCTCTTTCCATTACCCCATGTGACTTCTAATTAGACACATAAGACCGGAATACCAGAGGGAGGGACCATTCCAGAATTCCAAAGTTATAATGGCAAGGAGAGTAGAGGAAAAGGAGCAGGTAACCATGCCAGTGAATGTCGAACAAGCTTTCACATGAAGAGGACAGACGAACTGATTCGAAGGTAAAGGGGAAGGCGCTTGCCAAGGGGAGATGTTGCAGGGAGTCAGAAGAAAAGGCTGGAGTACTTCAAGAGGAAGAAAAGTATCCTTGAGGGAGCCTAGCATTTTGAAAGAACAGTATGATTTACTGTTGCTGAGAAGCAGGGAGCATGTGGATGGATGGTGGGAAGAAAGCTTGTAAAGAAAACAGAAGTCAGGTCATTTAGACTTTGTCTTATAGAGAGGAGAGACCCACTGAAGAACTTAAGCAAGGTAATAACATAAGCAGGCTTCCCCTTTGGCACAGTGGTAAAGAATCCACCTAGAATGCAGGAGAGGCAGGAGATACAGGTTCGACCCTCTGGGTCAGGAAGATCCCTTGGAGTAGGAAATGGCAACCCACGTCAGTATTCTTGCCTGGGAAATCCCATGGACACAAGAGCCTGGAGGGTTCCATTCCATGGGCTCGTAAAGTGTCAAGACACGACTGAGCATACACAGCAGAATAACAGAAGCAGATATGCATTTTCTAGATAGAAGCAAAAAGGCAAATTGGTTGTCTGAGAAGGCTGAGAAAAGAAGAGAAGTGAAAGTCAAAGGAAGAAAGGAAAGATAAACCCATTTGAATGCAGAGTTCCAAAGAAGAACAGGAGAGATAAGAAAGCCTTCCTTAGTGATCAATGCAAAGAAATAGAGGAAAACAACAGAATGGGAATGACCAGAGATCTCTTCAAGAAAATTAAGAGATATCAAGGGATATCTTTCATGCAAAGATGGGCACAATAAAGGACAGAAATGGTATGGACCTAACAGAAGCAAAAGATATTAAGAAGAGGGGGCAAGAATACACAGAAGAACTATACAAAAAAGATCTTCATGACTCAGATCACAATGGTGTGATCACTCACCTAGAGCCAGACATGCTGGAATGCGAAGTCAAGTGGACCTTAGGAAGCATCACTACTGAACAAAGCTAGTGGAGGTGATGGAATTCCAGCTGAGCTATTTCAAATCCTAAAAGATGATGTTGTGCAAGTGATGCACTCTATATGCCAGCAAATTTGGGAAACTCAGCAGGGGCCACAGGACTGGAAAAGGTCAGTTTTCATTCCAATCCCAAAGAAAGGCAATGCCAAAGAATGTTCAAACTACCAAACAACTGCACTCATCTCACATGCTAGCAAAGTAATGCTCAAAATTCTCCAAGCAAGGCTTCAACAGGATGTGAACCGAGAACTTCCAGTTGTTCAGGCTGGATTTAGAAAAGCTAGAAGAACCAGAGATCAAATTGCCAACATCCTTTGGATCATCAAAAAAGCAAGAGAGTTTCAGAAAAACATCTACTTCTGCTTTATTGACTACACCAAAGCCTTAGACTGTGTGGATCACAACAAACTATGGAATATTCTTAAAGAGATGGGAATACCAGGCCACCTGACCTGCCTCCTGAGAAATCTGTATGCAGGTCAAGGAGACATGGAACACACAGACTGGTTCCAAATTGGGAAAGGAGTATGTCAAGGCTGTCTAGTGTCACCCTGCTTTTTTAATTTATATGCAGAGTACATCATATGAAATGTCAGCCTGGATGAAGCACAAGCTGGAATCAAGATTGCCAGAAGAAATATCAATAACCTCAGAGATGCAGATGACACCGCCCTTATGGCAGAAAGTGAGGAGGAACTGAGGAGCCTCTTGATAAAAGTGAAAGAGGAGAGTGAAAAAGCTGGCTTAAAACTGAACATTCAGAAAACTAAGATCATGGCATCTGGTTCCATCACCTCATGGCAAATGCATGGGGAAACAATGACCACAGTGACAGACTTTATTTTGGGGGGCTCCAAAATCACTGCAGATGGTGACTGCAGCCATGAAATTAAAAGACGCTTGCTCCTTGGAAGAAAAGCTATGACCAACCTAGACAGTATTAAAAAGCAGAGATGTTACTCTGCCGACAAAGGTCCATCTAGTCAAAGCTATGGTTTTTCCAGTAGTCATGTATGGATGTGAGATAAATTTAGTCCAACTTCAAAAAAAGTTGAGCGCTGAAGAATTGATGCTTTTGAACTGTGGTGTTGGAGAGGACTCTCCAAAGTCTCTTGGACTGCAAGGAGATCCAACCAGTCCATCCTAAATGAAATCAGTCCTGAATATTCATTGGAAGGACTGATGCTGAAGCTGAAACTCCAATACTTTGGCCACCTGATGCGAAGTACGGACTCATTGGAAAAGACCCTGATGCTGGGGAAAGATTGAAGGCAGGAGGAGAAGGGGACGACAGAGGATGAGATGGTTGGAAAGCATCACCGACTTGATGGACATGAGTTTGAGCCAGCTCTGTGAGTTGGTGATAGATAGGGAAGCCCGGCGTGCTGCAGTCCATGGGGTCGCAGAGAGTTGGACACAACTGAATGATTGAACTGAACTGAGACAGATCACTCTGGAGGCAGTGGGATGGGTGACAGGCTGGGGCCGGTAAGGAAGTAACTGAGGGTGCAGGGGAGGTGCATGCACAGGAGGTGAACGCACAGTTGTTTGAGAAAGAGGATCAACGTCAAGTGGAGGAAAACTGGGATGACAAATGAGTCACTCACCACAGGAGAGAGTGACTCAGTCAGGATGCTAACATGCACCCAAAGAGACGAGACAGGAGGAGGAACAGACCTGAGGAGGAAATGTGAGTTTATCTATCTTTGTATGCCTAAAGCCCAGCCCAGGGCCTGACTTAGTAGAAAAGTATCACACCTATGCTGAGAGGAATTTCATTTTAATGTTAAATATGAAGTATTTACACCACACCTAGATGAAGATGTTTGGTAAGTGGTTAAATATATAGGTCAGAAGCTTAGAACAAAGATGCAGACATCAGATGTGGCTTTATGAATCTAGACATTAAGCGTAGGAATGAAAAGACAAAAACAGGCTCTGGAAAACAACAGACAAGAAGAAACATCCAGAGAGGCAGGAGAATGAGGAGGGTATAGTGCCATTAAAATCAGTAAGTGGGGACTTCCTTGGTGGTCCAGTGGTTAAGAATTTGCCCTGCAGTGCTGGGAATGACAGTTCCATCCCTGGTTGGAGAACTAAGATTCCCCATGCCATGAAGCAAGCAAGCCTGCACGCCACAACTACTGAGCTCATGAATACTGCAATGAAAGATCCTGTCTGCCATAACTAAGATCCAACACAGCTAAATAAATAAATATATTTTTAAAAAATCAATAAATGAGTTTCCAGAAAGAAAGGATCAAAAGGGTCATGCTGCAGAGATGACCAGGGAAAGTGTATATACATTGGACTTGGTAAGTAGGTTTTCACTGCTCACTTAAATAAGAGAATTTCAGCTGAGCAGTGATGGTGAAAACTAGATTGTGCTGGTCTGCACTGAATGGGGAGGTTTTGAAGAAGTAGGAAACAGAGGGCCCTTAGAAGGGGATAGAGAAGGATGGATAAGGAGATTAAGAAGATGGATAAGGGGCTTCCCTGGTGGTCCAGTGGTTTAGAATCCCCCTTCCACTGCAGGGTACTTGGGTTCCATCCCTGCTGAGAGAACTAAAAAGCTACTGAGCCCACACACTCTAGAGTTCATTCTCTGCAACAAGAAAAGCCCGTGCACTACAGTGAGAAGCCCCTGCCCACATGCTGCAACGAAGAGCCTATGCAGCCAAAATAAAAAAAGAAGAAAGGTAAAGAGGTTAGCTTCAGACTCAGGGAAGAGTTTTCTGATAAAGGAGGGAAAAAGATAAGGATTCATGCAGGTGCAGGTATATTTAAGTTGGAACATATAGGAAGATAACAATGTTTAAACAAAAATAATAATATTATAGTATGCAGGACTGATACTGAAGCTGAAGCTCCAATACTTTGGCCACTGGATACAAAGAGCCAACTCATTGGAAGAAGACCCTGATGCTGGGAAAGATAAAAGGTAGGAGGAGAAGAGGACGACAGAGGATGAGATGGTTGGATGGCATTACCGATTCAATGGACACGAGCTTGAGCAAGCTCCAGGAGATGGTGAAGGACAGGGAAAGGACAGGGAAGCCTGGCGTGCTGCAGTCCATGGGATTGCAAAGAGTTGGACACAACTGAGTGACCGAACAAAATGTAATTTCTAATGTGTGGAAGTAAAATGTATAAACATAAACAATGGTAATATAATGTCTGGAAAGGGACAAATAGTAAACTATTATAAAGTTCTTATACTATATATGATGAGGTATAATATCACCTGAAGGTAGACTTGATAAGTTGAAAATATATACCACAAACTCCAAACCAACCACTAATAAAGCTAAACAAAGAGTTATACCTAATAAGCCAACAAAGGAGATAAAATGGAATCATTGAAAAATATTCAGGGAGTTCCCTGATGATCCAGAGTTAGGACTCCATGCTTTCACTGGTGAGTGTCCAGGTTCAATTCCTGGTCGATTATAGAAGGTTTACTGTCAACTCATAAAAATGTGATATATAAAATAAGTGGAAAAACAAAAATACAAAGTAGTAATGTCCACACTGATGTATATCAACTGATATATATCCATTTGAATATAGAAGTGAAATTCTGGAGAAAAGAAATTTAAAAAATTAAGCTTGCTTTCTCTATGAAGTCACTGAATTAATTCTTAAAAATAAAGAGAAGAAAACATATATCCATATATTCCCTTTAGAAACTATCCAATATCCTCTTCTAAGCTTCTCAATGTGTGGCTTTTGTGTTTTGTTTTTTTTTAATAAATACAGACTCTTTTCCACACCAGGGAATATGGCTTCCATCTGACCTATTTTACTCCAACAACCTCCATGGACTTTACTTCTGCGACTATGACCATGACCAAATTCAAAGACTGTTCCCACTCCTTCCTTGACTATTGTTACACAGAACATTGTAGATTAATTGTAACTTCATCCTTGACACTTTTTTCTCTTTTGACTTCAGAGACTTTATTTTTTGAATTTTCTTATCTCTCTTGGTGATTCCTTCTCTGGTCTTTTTAAATTTCTGATTTCTCTTTCTCCTTATCCCCAAATCTGAGTATTTCAGAAGAGCTATTTTAAAGAAATTCTATGGGGGAATTCCCTGGAGGTCCAGTGGTTAGGACTCAGCACTTTCCCTGCTGAGGTCCTGGGTTCAATCCCTGGTCATGGAACTAAGATCCTCCAAGCTGTGTGGTGCAGCCAAAAATAAATAAATAATAAAAAATTATAAGCCTCAATCTTCTAATTGAAAAAGGGGATGAAAATTAGTATCCACCTGTTGTGAAAATTAAATGAATTACTTACATAAAGTATTCTGTACAATAGTAAACAGTCAACAATTGTTGGTTGTTGTTATTCTCATTGTTGCTATTTTTGTTGCCAGTCCAGCTGATACTACTGAACTCATTACTTATGGCCCAGGTATATTTAACAATTAATTACATAAAAATAGATATGTGCACATGGTAATGGCAGATGGCTATGAATCTTATTTCCACAATAAGATCACAAGTTCTTGAGAACAGGGCAAGCCTGACCTCTTCTAAATCCACTGACCACACTAGCCAACCCTAGGCCCCAACTGAATCAGTGCTAGAACACCTGTACCTCAGTTGTGTAGGAGGTTCCAATCCACCCCTGAGACTGTGTCCTTGCTCTTCAGTCCTCTTGCTTCCCTCAGGATGTATCCCTTCTTCCTGTAAGCAGAGGTAGAATTGAGGTCAGTCATAAGGCCCTGCCAGGGGTGAAAGGGATTGCAAGCAGTCAAATACCCTACATGAGGCCATGCGCTAGTCCACAGAGACGTGCAGAAACTAAACTGGTGAGTTACCGTGAGTTTCAGCCCTGGGCTCTCTATGCCAGTCTCCATAGTGGACAAAGCAAAGGCCTCTTTTCCATTTGTTTTCTCCATCTCCTGTTCTCCTGAAAGACAAATTCAGAGCCAAGACTGGAAGATTAGTTGTTCTATAATATGAGACTAGATAGAACTTTTAGGGCCAGTTATCTACGGGAAAAACAAAACTAAAAATATGTAGAGTTTAGCTGACTTCTTTAAGGACTGAAAATCGAGAAGATTGGAAGCATAATTCTAAAATAGTGAACAATAAAATATAGACTTCTACTTTCTATTGTCAATAGCTAAGGAAGGGGAAATAACATAGAAGAGAAATGAAGGGCAGGGGAATTGACATGAATCAGTGGCTCACAAAGGGCTCCAGGACCTGGACTAAAAAGGACCCTCTTCAGTTCCCTTGAGGAAGAGCGAGAGGGCAACTACTCCTGTTAGCCTCCAGGAGGCCCAACGGAGCTGTACTAAGAAGAAAACAAGGAGGCAGAGGGCTGGGAGGACCACAGCCCACAGCACATTACTGAGAAAACCAAGATGAACAGACTTTCAAGTTCCTGACCATAAAGCAGCATGACAATCATTTCTGGAGTATCTAAGCGAGTTCCTCATGAGAGAAAAGAAACATACACATGGAATAATCAGGGTGAGTGTTAATTATCCCCAATAAAGAACATTTCAAAACAAAATGAGAGAATAAAGAAAAAAAACAGGACTTCCCCTGTTTTCTCAACAGGTGGTCCCCTGGTTGAGAAACTGCCAGCTAATGCAGGGGATGCAGGTTTGATCCCTGATCCGGGAAGATTCTACTTGTTGCGGAGCAGCTAAGCTCATGCGCCACAAGAACTGAGCCCTTGCTCTAGAGCCTGAGAGCCAAAACTACTGAAGCCCTTGCGCCCAGAGCCTGTGCTCCACCACAAGAGAAGCCACTGCAGCAAGAAGCCCATGCACTGCAATGAAGAGTAACCCCTGCTGGCCACAACTAGAGAAAGCCTGTTCAGAGCAGTGAAGAGCTAGTGCAGTCGAAAAAAAAAAGTACAGGCTCATTTACTGGAATCATCTATTTAAGAAAAAGAAACAAAACAAGCACTTGAGCCTCACTATAAGCAACCTTTATCTAAACATTCAGTCATAATACAGGCTCATCTGAGACCTTTTTTTACTTTGTAGAAATTTTCCTTCCCTATGGAATTGTGTTTTGTTTTTGTTTTACTGTGATCCTTTCAACCATTTAAATATAATTTCATTAAACATCATAAACAGACAAATTTGTTTTATAAATCAGGACCTTCCTGCATAGATATAGACCTACTTGAACTTGGTCTCAGTAGGCTCAATTAAAAAAGCTGGCAAATCAGGTTCCTGCCCTCCCCCAAGATGATTACTTACTCCAGTTTGTAGACTTCTTCTGGCGCCTCAGAGGGGACAGAAAGAACACAGTTCCATGCCACCCTGACTGAAGGGATGGGCTGGGAATGAGGGAGGGTGATTTCCTGATTGGCTCATTTTGCCCCTGGGCCCTCCTTTGCTGTGCTTGCCCTTGCCTGTAGAGGAGGAGTGCAAATCTCAAGTTAAATATTTATATGTTTTAAAGACTGTTTTGCACGGTCAGGTCTAAGAGGCACTTCAGTAAAAGCACTGCCCAGTACTGAACTAGGCACAGGGGAGAAAAATAAGTGGAAGAAAAGTAAGAGAAAGATCTCTGCACTCAGAAAATGGATCATCATTTGGTACTGGGAAGACAGTTCCTAGAAAACAACAGAACACAGGACTGCACAAGATTTGATTCCAAATGACTGCAAGGAAGTCTTTTGCTAATCCATTTAACAAATATTTATTAAGTACTCATGATCACCCTGGTGTGGCTCTGGGTGCTGAGCACACAAAGATGAATGGAATATTGTCTCTACTGTGAAGGAATTACAAATCAGTGAGGAAAGACATGTGTCAAAAAAGGCTTTACACAGCTGGTTCCATTGGTCCTGAGCCAGGAAAGTCTTGAAAGGTAAGCAGAGAATCACTGACAGAGAACAGGAAAGATAAGACTATAAGAGGGAGAAACACACAAAAAAGGCACAGATGTGAAACCTTCCTGACATACTAACAAGGCTGTAAAAATATAGCTAAAGAATAAGGGGATATTTTTTGAGAAACTAATGAAGGAGGGACAAAATAAAGTAAGAAATTAGTTAAGGAATGAAAGGAGAAAACACAAAAGAGATCGTGATGGCTTATCAAGAGATGTCTGGAGATGCAATCAAGTCCAGGATGAACGTTTGGGCTTACCTGGAGCCAAGTGGGGAGGCAGGAGGAGGGACTGGAAGGATGCCTGTTGGGGACAGGAAGACCAGTCAGGAGACAAAAGTTGGTCCAGGTCGGACATGGAGAGGCTCTAACCAAAGCAGTGGATGCAGAGGAAGAAACAAACCTATAAGGAGTAATGACTGGTGGGGCATGGAGGGAGTAAATGAAAGGGAGGAAGTAATTCTCCAAAATAATCTATTTCTTCCTACTCCTACCCACCAGTAATACTGAGCTATATGTTGTTCCCTCTCAATATATGTTGATGTTTCCTTCTGCCTGTATTGTCATATGTTTGCGGATGCTGTTCCTTCTGCCTCTGACATGCTACCGCTATCTATTGCTGTTGTTGTTCTTCAGTTGCTAAGTCCTGTCTGACTCTTTGTGACTCAACGGACTGCAGCAAGTCAGGCTCCTCTGTCCTCCACTCTCCTGCAGTTTGCTCACATTTATATCCATTGAGTCGGTGATGCTATCTAACCATCTCATCCTAAAGCCTTCCTTTCCTTTTGCTTTTAATCTTTCCCAGCATCCAGGTCTTTTCCAGTGAGTCAGTTCTTTGCATCAGGTGGCCAAAGTACTGGCGCTTCAGGTTCATCATCAGTCCTTCCAATCAATAATCAGAGTTGATCTCCTTTAGGATGGACTGGTTGGATCACCTTGCAGTCCAAGTGACTCTCAAAAGTCTTCTGCAACACCACAGTTCAAAAGCATCAATTCTTCGGTGCTCTACCTTCTTTATGATCCAACTCTCACATCCATACATGACTAGTGGAAAAACGAAATCTTTGACTTATATGGACCTTTGTTGCCAAAGTAATGCCTTGCTTTTTAATACTGTCTAGGTTTGTCATAGCTTTCCTTCCAAGGAGCAAGCGTCTTTTCATTTCATGGCTGCCGTCACTGTCCACAGTGATTTTGGAGCCCAAAAAATAAAATCTCACTGCTCCCACCTTTTCCCCTGCTATTTGCCATGAAGTGATGGAACCGGATGCCATGATCTTAGTTTTTTTCAATGTTAAGTTTTGAGCCGGTTTTTATTTACCTAGCAAATCCCTGTACCACCACGTTTCTGTTGCAAGGCCACTCTTCTCAATGAAGTTTTCCAAATTCTCTCCAGTTCAGACTTCAGATACCTTTCCCCACACTCCTGCTTCAACATGCTTCTGCAGAGGTCTACAGGGCATTTAGTGCTCTACATGTCTATTTGTTTCCCACTAGACTATGATCTCAACAAGCACAGGCTCTTTATCTTATTTGCCACTGTAACCCTGGTAACGGTGCCTTCCCTGGGGGCCGAGAGGGTGGGTGGGAAGCTCCAATATTTTGGCCACCAGATGCAAAGAACAGACTCATTGGAAAAGACCCTGATGCTGGGAAAGACTGAAGGCAGGAGGAGAAGGGGACGACAGAGGATGAGATGGTTGGATGGCATCACTGACTCAATGGACATGAGTTTGAGCAAGTTCTGGGAGTTGATGATGGACAGGGAAGCCTGGCGTGCTGCAGTCCATGGGGCCATAGTCAGACACAACTGAGCAACTGAACTGAACTGATCCTCAGACTCAAGATCTGCCACAATACTGTTGTTGTTGTTTAGTCACCAAGTTGTGTCCAACTCTTTTGCAACCCCATGGATTATACCCTGACAGGCTCCCCATATAGTGGATTACCACTTCTTTCTCCATGAGATCTTCCCAATTCAGGGACTGCACACACATCTCCTACATTAGCAGGCAGATTCTTTACCACTGAGCCACGAAGGAAGCCCACCACAATATTAGGCAATCAATAAATATTTGTGGGGCTTCCCTGGTGGTCCAGTGGTTAAGAATTCACTTTGCAATGCAGGGGACACCAGTTCAATCCCTCATCCAGGAAGATCCCATATGCTGAGAAGCAACTAAGCCCCCTTGTGCCACAACTACTAAGCGCACGCACCTTGAGCCTGCGCTCCACAACAAGAGAAGCCACCACAATGAGTCCACGCACTGCAACTAGTGAGTAGCCCCTGTCTTGCTGCAACTAGAGAAAAGCCCACATGCAGCAATGAAGACCCATCACAGCCAAAAAATAAAATAAATACATGAATCTTTAATAAATAAATATTTGTAAAATAAGTGAAACAAACAGATTTCTGACATTGGGTGTGAGGATGATGATAACAAACACCAAAACAGGAAGATATATCTCTATTTCCCTAGCTCCATGCATTTGTGTACACACACATACACATAAAAGGCCTAGCAGAGTAAATGTGTGTTATATTCTGTAACCTAGAGCAACTCATTTTGCCTCTCTGGACCCCTTCTGTTATTCCTGCCTTGCCTAATTGCCCAATGCTGTTTCACAAAATTATTAGGAAAATTTGATATACTAATGGAAAGATAATTTGAAAAAGAGTAGGAAAACTTAGAGTTGCCAGCTATTATTGTAAGTCCCTATAGAAACTCAGGAAAATTAAAGATATTGTCAAGGTCGCATCTGACCACAATCTTAATACGATTATGAAATCTCTCAAACTCATTCTTAGTCAGTTCAGCCATTCAGTACTGTCCAACTCTTTGTGACCCCATGGACTGCAGCAGGTCATGCCTCCCCATCCACCACCAACAGCTGAAGCTTGCTCAAACTCATGTCCATCGCGTCGGTGATGCCATCCAACCATCTCATCCTCTGTCATCCCCTTCACCTCCCGCCTTCAATCTTTCCCAGCATCAGGTTCTTTTCTAATGAGTCCATTCTTCGCATCTGGTGGCCAAAGT